ATTATTGAATAACCATGCTACTTCTTCTCTTAATTGTCGCCAGTCTTTGGTCATGTGGCCGTGAGTGCCATGGTACTTGCACATCAGGTTAAGGTCCCTTTTTTCTATATATAAGTTTTAGTTGACAGAATTACTCAATACCTCTAACAGTGTTTTATAAATAAAAAAAAAGGGGAAAAAATAAGAATATAAAATAGATTGAAAAACGTGTTATACAAGTGTAAATAGAGCAAAGGTCAGGAGGTAGTGGCCAAATAATTCAAGAGATGAGGGTATAATTGACAATCATCCTGTTAAGAGCAGTAACAAATAGCCCCATCTATAGATTTCACCGCACTTAGTTAAAATATTTCGTGAACTTCTATATCATATTTTGCTTTTGTTTTGCTTCATATCTTTGATATTTCAACTTTGCTGACGTGACTAATCAAATCTGTGCCAGGTAGAGTTTGAGTTATGAGTTCATCTAAATTCAGTGTCTTTGATTTGGATCATGTTTATACATTAAAAAAAACTCACAATATTAATACAAATAATTAATTTTAAATCTAGTAAATTAAATGAGTTGTGGTCGAATTGTGAACCCGAACCTATAAAATTAATTTTAAATTTATCTATGCAATAAAGATCTCTAATTAAAGATAAAAAGAACACAAGTATACGGTAAGCGTACCACATATTTAAAGGATACACCAAATATAGTACACCTTTATTTTTGAAATTTTCCCTAAGTGTAATTTATAAACTTTGCTTTTGAAGAAAGACTCTATAGTTGCAGAAAAGGGTAAAGAGATTTTGACCTCACATTACTTAAACATCACTATTTAAGCTTTAGTTGTTAAAACAAAATCTTTTTCCTGGTGCGATGTGGGGATTTGAATAGAGTTGATGAGGAGGGGTTTGCTGTTTTGCATCAATAAAGAATCTTTGGGCCCTAATTAAAGGGCAATATACATCCGTCTTAAACAAGCAATCACATGCAATTAAAGAGAGGGATTACAGAGACAGAAACTTACATCCTTTTTTCTGACTAAATAGTTGTAATCTTCAATGGCCTAACACATCAACATACTTAGAAGGCAAAGCCAATCACGGAAATCAAAGAAAAAGTCAGCCGTTCAATTCATTTATTCATGAATAAATGTGGCGGACAACTCCATGCCATTACCACTAGCTTTAATCTTTATTTTATTACTCCTATTTTTTACTTTAAGTTTTAAACAGTATTACAAAAAATATTTACAGCACTAAATTTTCTACAAATAATTAAGTGTAAATTTTTATAATATTTAGTAATAACCTGATAAATATTTTATAACTTATTTGCTATCACATTTTGAAGTTCATTAATAGGGTAAATTCTTTTTACATAGGGATATAACTTAAACCCATGTTTTCTAGCCTTCAAGTTCTATATACTAAGGGATCGTTTGATAGAATGTATAAGAGTAGTACTGAAAATGGTGTAATAATAACACTGAAATAATTTCACATTGATTGTTTGGTTTGGTTTATTAAAAATAATATGCATTGCATAATCTTTTAAAAGAAATATTTGTTTACAAAAATACCTTCCAAAAATATTGAAAAAGATTTGGAAAAGGTTATAAAAGGATAATTCTATCTTTAAACATACTTATCCATATATTAGAAAATATGATATTACTAATATCATAGTTTGTTATGTATAAAAATAATATTGAATAAGGTGTATAACTAATATAGATATTAGTTATACATAGGTAAAAAATGCTACTAAGCAAAAGATTAATAATACATATATTACTTTTTATAATACTACATCCTACCAAATGACCCATATTTGTAAAAGAAATATTAATATAAGCAGTGACTTATAAAATAATTACAGGTCAATTTCTACGCTATCATTATTGATAGCCTGATAAAAGTAACAACTAACACGTTAGAAATTATATTCCCTCCATTTCACTTTACTTAATAATTTTTTTAGTTCGCTCAAAAAATAATGATATTTTTTTTATTTTGATAATAACTTTATTTTAATCTTAATAAAATAATTTATAAGGTACAAATTAACTTGTTTTAAACCATAAATTTCAATTTTTTTAAAAAAAGCTTCGTGCCTATTTAAATTTTGCCACTTAAAGAGAAATGAAGGGAGTAATAGTTAAACTACATTGATAATATAGTACTCTCTTCGTTTCAGTCTATGTGAACTTATTTTCTTTTTGGTTCATTCAAAAAAGAATGATCCCTTTCTAAATTAAGAAACAATTTAGCTTAAACTCTCAATTCTATCATTAGTGATAAGCTTTTATAATCACACAAATACTCTGAACCTCTTTTTTGACTTGTTTAGGACCACAAATTCTAAAAGTCTTTATTTTTTCTTAAACTTCATGCTCAATCAAACATGTTAACCTACCTAAATTGAAACAGAGGGAGTAGTAATTTTTTGTATTTAACCGTGGAGACGGTTAGGGTGATAGAGCTCTCTTAAGATTTTTAGCTAATTGATGTTACAATTATGTCAATTAAGAGAAAAATGCACAAACAAAAAGTAATCAGTAGGGAGAAAGAGAAAAGTAACTAGCGTGATCATCTAGATGTAGTTTCTGGCAGTCACATCTGTCATAGACAGAGAAGAACTACTACTGCAGACAAATCCATAAAGGCAATTATGAGAGAGGAAAAGCCAATGGAATTCTTTATATAACACAATGTTTAAAAAAGAAAAAGAAAACAAAAACAAAAGAAGCGCAATGAACACAAGGCCCAGCTGTTAACACGAAATGAACTACTCCTATGTGGCATCTTTGCTGTATTTTCACAGACCAAAACTGAATCGATATTCTTCTATCAGAAGCCATACTCATATCCAAATACAGCATATTCAAATGAGTAATTGTACACTCCTAAAAGAAATTAAAAAATTAAAGAATTCATGCCAATTACCTTAGCTACACTATATAGGTACCAAATGACATGTTTACACACTAGAATGTGAAATAGTAGAAGTACACACAAATTAGCCGGACAAATCTTTACAATGACTACTATTATTCTGCCTTAATACTAAACATCTCTATTTAAGCTCGTCTCATATCAATGGAATACCATTAGTCTTGAAACAACGATAAAGTTATTTAAGTGTAATCTATACATCATGAGTTCGATGCAAGGAATCGGCCATTGAAGCTAGCATCGAGGCATACTGCCTATATTATATCCTTTGGGGTACAACTCTTTCCTGACTCTGTGTGAATACAAGATGTTTTGTGCACCAGACTATAATTTATTTATTTTTTTAAATAAATTATAGTGAGGGTGAGGAAGACGAGGTGAGGGTGAGGAAGACGACGTCTATATCCGACAATCAGTTTGGATTCATGCCGGGCCGCTCCACTACGGAAGCTATTCACCTTATTAGGAGGTTGGTGGAACAATACAAGGATAAGAAGAAGGATTTGCACATGGTGTTTATTGACTTGGAGAAAGCGTATGATAAGGTTCCTAGGGAGGTGCTTTGGAGATGTCTTGAGGCGAAGGGCGTGCCGGTAGCCTACATACGAGCGATCAAGGACATGTATGATGGAGCTAAGACTAAGGTTAGGACAGTGGGAGGCGACTCGGAGTATTTCCCGGTTGTTATGGGATTACACCAATGCTCATTAGCCCGTTCTTATTTTCCTTGGTGATGGATGCTTTGACACACCATATTCAAGGGGAGGTACCATGGTGTATGTTATTTGCTGACGACATAGTTCTAATTGACGAGACGAGGGCCGGTGTTAACGAGAAATTGGAGGTTTGGAGACAGACTCTCGAGTCTAAGGGTTTCAAATTGAGCAGGTCTAAGACAGAGTACCTGGAATGCAAGTTTAGCGCTGAGTCGAGGGATGTAGGCTGGGACGTGAGGCTTGGGCCCCAGGTCATCCCCGAGAGATAGCTTCAAGTACCTTGGGTCGATGATTCAAGGGGACGAAGAGATCGACGAGGACGTCACTCACCGCATAGGGGCGGGCTGGATGAAATGGAGGCTTGCATCTGGAGTCTTGTGTGACAAGAAAGTGCCACCGATACTCAAAGGTAAGTATTATAGAGTTGTAGTTAGACCGGTCATGTTGTATGGGGCAGAGTGTTGGCCGGTTAAGAACGCTCATATCCAGATGATAAAAGTAGCAGAGTTGCGGATGCTGAGGTGAATGTGCAGACACACTAGGATAGACAAGATTAGGAATGAAGATATTCGGAAGAAGGTGGGCGTCGCCCTTGTGGATGACAAGATGCGGGAAGCGAGGCTTAGATGGTTCGGGCACGTGCAGAGGAGAAGCCTCGATGCACCGGTGAGGAGGTGTGAGCGGTTGGCCGTGGTGGGTACGAGAAGAGGTAAAGGGAGACCTAAGAAGTATTGGGGAGAGGTGATCAGGCAGGACATGACTCGACTGCACATTTCCGAGGACATGACCCTTGATAGGAAGACCTGGAGGTCAAGCATTAGGGTTGTAGGATAGAGGTAGTAAAGCTTTCCTTACTTCATTCCGGGGGTGAGGCGGAGTTGGATTAGGGTTGGTCTTAGATGGCTTGCAGTTTATGTTGGACCCACACTATTCTTGTTGTTTGTCTTAGCCCCGGGCCTTAGATTATGGTTACTGTTATTACATGTCATCCATCTTTCGGTTTTTATGTGTATGTTACTATTACTGTTTCTATTGGAGTTACTAATGAATTCTCTCCTCTTGTTTTTTTTTACTTTATTTTCGTCTTTTTGAGCCGAGGGTGTATCGGAAACAGTCTCTCGGCCCCTGTCGGGACAGGGGTAAGGTCTGCGTACACATTACCCTCCCAGACCCACTATGTGGGATATACTGGGCAGTTGTTGTTGTTAAATATATGGCGAGTCCTTGTGTTGTGCTACCACTTCACCAGTTGGATTCCCCCACCNTGCTTGGGAAGGTTTCAAAGCAATGTGACTTACAACTACCGCGTAAAAAGAGGAGCTAAAATAGGAGCTAAAAGAGGATCAAAATTCAATAGTTTTCTATAACAAGCAGAATCCATTTGACAAAAATTACTAAAGAATTATGGAAAAAAGGAAAAAAAAAACAAGAAAGAAAATGAGAGTTACAATTTTGACCTCCCACATTCATCTCCAATGGCTCTACTTCCTTTTGATCAAAATCAGCATTACGAAACTCCAGAGACCTCTGGTTGGCTAAAATCTTCGTCTTCTATTGGAGCCGGCATGTTAAGATCTATAAACCCATTTGGGAATTTAGCAGAACTTGAATCCATTAAACTATCGCCAATTTTTGATGAAGAAGAAGCAGTGGTTGATGAACTCAAAAGATGTGATCTTTTATGTCCACCCAGTGCTTGACCCGACCCATATATTTTTCCACAAAATGGACATTCATGCACTTTCTGATCCACATTCTTCATTCTCAGTTGTCTCGAATTTTCTTTTGACTTGATCCCCTCGTTTTTGTCTTCAATGTAAGAGTCGTTCTTCTTGTGAATTGTTTTATGACTACCCAAAGCTTGAGATGATTTTAACACTTTGTTACAAATCTCACATTGGTACTTTCCTTGTTTTAATTCTCTAAATTTCGACTCGTCCGATTCGTATGAACTTCTCCATACATCTTTAGATAGCATCATTAGACAAATAGCAATGTCTTCTTCAGGGGAAGTATCGGAAAATGAACTCACTGGTTCTGGTTCAGGTTCAAATTCAGCTGATTTCTCCTTTTTTACTTCCGTTGCTTCTTCTGATATGAAGATTCTTCGAGTTCTCTTGGATCTCCTCCTAGTTGGCTTCTTAGTTGACTCAGTTTCGCTTTCGTTATCATGTACTACAACTGACCCAGCACCATCCAAAAACTCAGGATCTACAATCTTACAACTCTTCTTCGGATTCTCTCTTAGCCCATAACCCAAATACTTCGCTTCCCTAATTTCTTCTTCTTCTTCTTCTTTTAAGGAATGGAGTGAGAGAGTTGACTCGCTACGGCCGGCGGAATCTTGTTTCTGCGGCGGAGTTTTTGGTGGAAGTGGAAGAGTCCTTAAATGAGACCTCATGTGACCACCCATAGCTTTACCACTTGAGAATTTCCTTGAACAGAGCTTGCATTTATGCTTCTCCATACTCATTGATGTTATTATTCAACAAAACCAAAACAGATTCTACAGAAGCACTGTTAACATATATAGATACACGTAGCCAGATATGGCTGTTTGATTCTCTCACTATAATGGTTATTCTCTCTCTAAAATGGTTAGATGAGAGAGTTGAGGAAGTAGAGTGGGAGTGGGAACTTATAAAAAGGGGTGATTAAGAGGAGAAGTAGGTGACAAGCATTCTTCACTTCCACCAAATAGAGGCACGCACCCATCACACTCATAAACAGTTGTGATGTGATTTGCTTTCTGAATTTATTACAGAAAAATATAATTACTTAACTAAGCAATAAGTTTTAGATAAGTTAACTTTTACTTTTATTTACTAATTAAGTTACTTATAACAAAATTACAAATAAAGATTTTGACACTATACTGAGATGGTAACTCAAATAAGATAATCTCTACTCTGTTTGCACCGGTTAAAAGAAAAGATGGTGAGTTACGTATTAGAACTGGTCAAATTGTACAGAGATGCACGGTCAAAAAACTGATGTAAATAATTACTCTATAAAACATTTCAAATCTTTTATGAATTTGTAATTTTAAGTTTCCAATAATTTATTTTCTCTATAGCTGTAAAAATTGTACAATAATGTGATTTAATAAATAAAATTTAACTATAGCGTGATCGTGAGTGGGTAAAGAGGAACAACTGAACATGCAAATCTTGCCTTCTCAGTGTGATCCCTTTTTTGCTCTTACCTTTTTCTCTTAATAATTTTATAGAATGTACGTAAGTACATATTCTAGTCTTTTATATTTTGTTTTTTGACATGGCTATGTCTGTTTGTACTTTGTATTACATTAATTAGATCGTCGATCATTAAGTTTAAGTATACCTAACCTTTTTTTCTCTCGAAAAAGTACTAACCCAATGATTAAATGTTTCTTTCTTAACTCTTTCAATATTTTATTATTGCATTAGGCATCTTCTCTTTTATATTTTTTCCTACAAAAAAATAACAACTAAAAAGCACTGTACATTAAGCATCTTTTGTACGCTAAGATTCAATTTAATTTTGGTTCGAATATAGTGACAACTTTTTTTTGGTCATAATCCGTAGTAAAAATACTGCTTCAACTGACTTAATGAGTTTATCCAATAAGTAATGGGATCCGAATTTCAAGAACTTTGTTTGACTAAAAATAAATACGTGGCTGGCTTGTATGAAGACTACTAGTCAATAAACTGTTTCGTTGTTTGTTGTACCAAATGAGAGAAGCCACCGGTAATTAATTACTAAGGCTCCGTTGAAGGTAGTCAACTTTCTTTAATTTGATTTTTATTTTGTTGGTGGTTCAAAGAAAACCGTTAACCACCCATATTATCCACTAAAAAATAGGTTGGATAATAAACTTTTTAAAAACGGGTCAAATATAGATAAGAATAATATTATCCATTTAGAAAATGGATAACCAATGAGTAACCAATGTGTCTAACTTTTACATTTGTAAAGCCTCAAATTGGGGGTTCCTCTTAGGGAGATTAAGAATTCTCCCAAAACTGATCATATACAAGAAGTCATGGATAATATGAGTTACTCATATTATCCGCCGGTTAATCCGTTTTTTATCCGTATTAAATATGGGTCGAGTCGAATAATTGATCCGTTTTTTCATTACCCGTTTTCAACCCGAACCACATCCGACCCGACCCACCCGTTTGTCACTCCTAATCAACTATATTTAATTGTCTTCACTTTCACACTAGCTTATAAACATTGTTTAATCTAAAAGAAGATTAACTGAAAGAGAATTATGAAAGTAAAAGAGAAATTGATGCGGCCATCCTTCGACAATTTTCTTTAACTTCTTTGTTTTTTATTTTTATTTTTTTGGACGTTGGAATAAACTATAAAGGAAAGAAATGATCGCGTGACAAATCGATCTAGTACAATCACTATATATGTTGTAACATTACAATGTTAGTACCGATTAATTTTCATCTCCTCAAGATTAAATCAGAGGAGTCAAATAAAGTTTTCTTGGACCATGTTTTTTGCAAATAAATTTTAAATATTTTAAATTGTTAATTATTATAATTTATAATATTTTATATGTAGTTTCTAAATATCCATTCAAATTTATACCGAAAATTAATCAATTTGATCATCATATTTTAAAAATGTTCAAACAAATTAAAACAGTGAAGTATTAAATCTTACTAGCAGAGTCGTGTATTTGCTTGCATACAACCACGATAGAGTTTTATAATAGCTGATTCTTTGGAAATATCAGTGTAATTTATTTACCAACATTATGCAAATGGTTATCAACCCAAATTACCACTCACTAACCAACATGTTCAAATACTGCGAAAGAGAATTAATTAGATCGATTTTCTTTGATAAAATGCTATTAGAGAAAAGTTTTGAAATCCTTTTACAAAGATGGTCAAATATAGAGTAGAGTTTTATTCAGCTTTTATTTTTAATTCAAACGCAGGACAAAGACAAATGTTATGTTTCCTGACGTTTAGCCTCGCCGACTGCAACGAAAAAGTTTTCTAATTATCACGTCGGCGGTTGCTTCGTTGCATGCCAAAGCCCAAACCCACGCGTATGTTTGGCATTTGACTCGTCCAGGTCCAACCACCAGTATTTATCACCGATCCATCTTTTGTCAAATTTTCACTTAATTCTTCATATTAGTATATCATAAATCAAAAACGCAAGCTAGCTTATAATTTTAATTTAGTATACCTGGAGTACCACACATATCAGTTTTATAATAATTTAGATTAATACCAGTATTTTAAAGGCGGAGTGCAAGGCAAGACGGGGCATAATCCCAATTTCCCAAATGCTAAGCCCCATGAATATATATATTTATATAGAGATTTTTTTCGCAAAATGGGTACTATGGGAAGAGAAGAATAAAATTAATTAAGTTGACTATTGTGTATTAATACTAAACTATAAATGAAATCAAAAAAACGAAGAAGATAAAAGTAAAAAAAAAAAGCAATTTGTTATTAAATATAAATTATATTGCATTCAAAGAACTAAAATATTAATAAAGTTGACTATTATATATTAGTACTAAATTATAATTAAATTTTAAAAAAAAAAGAGATAAAAGTGAAAGATAAAGCAATTGCTATTAAATATAAATTACATTGTACTCAAAGAATAAAAATAAAAGGAGGAGAAAAAAGCTAAAAGGGGGTTCCAGACCAACGTCCTCATCATAGTTGGGAATTAAAGGGCCCAAAGCAATTACTTCTTCCATCCACCTCTTTGTTTTAGGAGGCACATTTAAAATATTTAAGGGGTCCCATATATATAAACAAATATATATAATATGTATATGCAAAATTTATACCGAGGCTAACAGGGTCACGTGACCCTTCAAGCCACCATGTAGGTCCGCCTATATATTTCTAAGTTGTCAGATACTTAATTATAGATAATAAAACATACTGGCCATTATCAAATATTTAGAAAAAAAAGGAAAATATAATATAGAGGGATGTACATAATATGCATATGGCGTTCTTAAGTGTACATGTCAAAAAGCCCTTGACATAAAGCGTACAAGGAGCTAAGCTGAGCCCGTTTGGATTGAATTATAAAGTGTTTTTAAGCCAAAATAATTTTTAAGATATTACCTGATGAGCCGTTAGTTTTATGAGACTTAATCTTCCCTAATTATCTCGATTTGTTTTAAGACTCTCCCTCCTCGTGATGTGTCTTGAACAACAGAACTATAAATATTTTATCCGGTTCACTTTAATTGATTTTTAATTATTTTTACCCATATTAAAAAATTTATATTTTAATATTAATTAATAATACAATAATCATATTAACCTTAATTTGTTTATTGAAAATACAACAAATATTTCTAAACTCTTTACTCCAAAGACAACAATAACAATGAATCCAATATAATCCAACAAGTGGGGTAAAGAGCCTCCAAGGGCAACTTTGGAAGGAACAAGTTAATTCCTTCTTCATATCTTAAAAATTCAAATATTGTGGACCAAAAAAAAAATCAAAAAATCGATTAAAGTGAACCGGAGGAGTATGTTATAAAAAAATTAATAAATTGAACCCAAAAAATTAATGAGCCTTTATTATATTCACTACTAGAAATTCGATAAATACCGACCAAAATTTTCCGACCAACGTTGGTCGGTCAAAAAAAGCGACCAAAATTGGACGGAAACTGGGAGAAAAATATTTTACATTTATTTTAAAAACAAATACCGACCAAAGTTGGTCGGTAAGTTGGTCAACAAGTTGACCGAGTTGGTCAGACTTGCTTAGTCAAAGAAACTTTTACATTATCGACCAACTTTGGTCAGTAATGTGGATCTAATTTTTAAAATTTTAATAGTTATATTATTATTTAAATATTTTATAAAATTTAAACCGACCAAAGTTGGTCGGTTATTAGGTTAACATTGGTCAAAAAATATGAAACACTTTTATATTTACTATCTAAATAATATAAATGTAATTCGTTAACTCTTTTGTAATACAAATAGTGAATACACTAACATATACTATAACATGCTATATATGTAGTTAAAGTAGTACAATATATATANATGAATCAATTTACAAACATATATATTTGATGATAAATTATATATACAAATTAGGATCTTCACAAGTCTATCAATCCCTAAAAGAACCTGACCCTTCCACATAATTTAGGGAAGATCCTAATTAGTATATATAATTTATCATTAAATATATCTGTTTGTAAATTGATTCATCGACTTATAACTTACTCAGATGCATCGTTGAATATTAAAAAAAACGTTTGACCTATATCTATTAATAGTAAAAATAAAAATCGTCTCGACCTATATCGATTAATCTATGTCATGCATTATTAGTGATGAATGAATGTAATCCGTTAACTCTTTTGTAATACGAATAATGAATACATTAACATATACAATAACATGCTATATATGTAGTTAAAGTAGCACAACGAAGTGTGTGTGTGTGTGTGTGTGTTATATATACACACACTAACATATACTATAACAAGCTATATATATAGTTAAATTATTACAATGAAGTGTGTGTGTGTGTGTGTGTATGACCCGGCCGGCCATTTTAAGAATTAACGCCTCGATCCCCTATTAACTGCTTTCCCCGTGTTTGTTTCTGCTATTTTGATTTGGCGGGATATTTG